ATAAAAGAATACTACAGAGACCAGTGAATAGGGTTTATCCTCTAGAAATACATAGCTCAGAGAATAACGACCGCGAATCACTCGCAGTAAGTGATCCATGCACGCCAAATGAGACGCGAGGTCAATCTCAGGTACAGAGTCCACCTCATTTACAACCATTGCGCACTGACGCAATCGATACCCGATACGGCGATAATCCGCCAACATCCACGGCGGAGCCCACAAACACGGGTGGCAGAAGAAATCCAACGCGAGCATCAAAAACTCGAGCATACGACACAATTCAAAGATTTGAACAAAGTCTTGACGAACCATGTTGTTCAGGAACGTCTTCAGCATTAGTTATGCTGGCAATAATGGTAAATCTGGCAACTACAACATTTGCTGTACCAGCAAATGTTTCATGCCAATTGGGACAAGTTCAAATTCGCCCACCAAAAGAATACTACGAACTTTGTTTCAATGATCACTGCAAATCTTTCAATAGAACGGATTTGCAAATTTTCAATCTGCCAAAAACACCGACAGATAAATTTACTACTGTTCAACTAAGAACTTTCGAAAAAGGTACAGTAATCTCAGAAACAAGGGTATGCGAACCACCAAAATTCTGCGATGAAGCGAAAGTGTTTACCAAACACCTGCTTGGAAATCCACACTGCTGGCCGATCGGGGCTATAATTTCAGTTACAATTATTGTATACTGCATTATCACAACCGTAATGATTAGCGTGTGGTCATGTCGGAAAGTGCACAGGAAAAGACGTCCTAGACCAGAAAACTCCTTCCAGAGGCAGATGGAAACACATCAGGAATCCCGGCTGATGGACTCGTTTAATCCAATCCCACTACGCACGACGATAGCAATATGCGCAGTTATGTTACTGTGTTCAAAGGAGGCTCACGCATGCCAACATGGGTACATGCGCCATACGACTGAGCTAGTGTGCACCAACGAAAACATGTGCTCCTACGAATACGATCAAGAAGTTCTATTCAACCATGTGGACTCCGAAATTTGCATTGACATAATGCACGCCAACAAGTCTATTGGATTGATAAAAATCACCAAACGCTACATGAAAATGAAATGTGCAAAAATTTCCCACTATTTCACCAGGGAAACCGCTTACCAAATATTCCACATCACAAGATGTGCCCAAGCAGGATCGTGTACACTGCATAAATGTAATACACTAGCTCCTACGGACATAATTGACGAGTTCAACGAAACCCGAATTTATCCGGGTTATTCCACATGTGTTCCAACATGCGGGGGACTGCAATGCGGCTGTCTACTACCTATGCCTGCTTGCGCGTTTATGCGGATAACACACATCCCACTGACAGAATCAGCTTACGAAATTATCAGCTGTTTGGACTGGGAACCAGTCATAGAGCTCGAAATAGTGACTCAGATACAAGACCGGAAGAAAGTCGAGAACATCACTTTGATACCATATACGACACAGGAAATAAGTAAAATGTCGATAACAGCGATTACACTACAAAAACCTCACTATCCTTTAATGGAGCAAAGGTTTGCGCTAGCAACAAATGAAGCATTTTCAGTACCGCACAACTATGTGCTCCCAGTACAATGTGCTTCCAAAAAAATGGCAACCGAAGAGTTCGCTAAATGCACAGACCATATGATATGCATGTGCGAAAATCCACAAGCCCCACATACGTGCCATTGCCCGGACAATGCATTTGCAAAACTGAGATTCGAGCGCTCAAACCCTCTGCCGATCTCAACAAGTCTCATGGAAATTAGATTCGAGGATTTGGAATTATACACTTATACACATGAAGGAGAAACAACGCTGGCGATAAAATCATCCTTGATGCTTGATAGTGCAAGCTACATAGTTATCGAGCCATGCAAAATAACACCACAAAAGTTGGTCGGATGTTACGAGTGTACTGAAGGTTCCACACTGGATGTTGCATGTTTCGCACAAATTGAAACATGGGTAACCATACAATGTGAAACACTAGTATTCAGTATACCCTGCGACAAAAACAACAGGTTGTCGAACATAACAATGGAATTTGACCATGCAGTGATACATGAGAAATGCCACACACGGTGTGGAAATACGGAACAAGTATTTACTCTGGAAGGCACACTACACTACCATCCAGATAATACATCAAATTCAATATTTGAATCCATCGAACCCGATATCAAAAACAACTGGTCAAATCTAGTAAACGTACCAGATCTCCAGCCCTTGGTAAATACAGTTAAAAGCCACTGGAGAGCAGCTCTAGCAGCTATAGGAGGAATATCAGCAATGATAGGCATCACGTACCTATTTGGACCGGCCGCGTTGATGCTAATAGTTCGAATATTATGGACCTTAGCACTAGCAGTCGCAAAGGTCGCATGGCAGGCAATGTGCCTCGCCATCAACCTGCTCCGCGGAGCAATCAATACAGTTCGGGTCATCCGACAACACACGGAAAATCCAGCTAATTAAGCGTTGCCACCAAACATGCAATGCACCCGGTTGTAAATAATAAAAAATATCATATTAGTTTAAAAAACTCCTTTTCGGCAGCCTCAGAAATAAAGAGGCGGAGCTTAACAGTACCAGCGGCCAGGACCAGCTGGCGGTAGAGGCGGAGCCTAAGAAAAAACCATATAAAAAGACCGCATTTACAACAGGGCTATATTCACAATGCCCGAATTCAACTATCTGCTCGACGGTGATTCCACCCAAGATAGCTTCTCCATCGTGCTCAAAACCATCGAGTGCAGCGAAGAGAAGACCGCCAATCTGCTACACTCCATCCTCCAGGCAATCAACATCCAGCTGGACGCTAGATTGTCGGCCATGGAACAGACCCTCAACACCATTTTAGAGCGGAATGCCCCTAAGAAGCAATGTGTCTTCTGCATTCCGCAGGAAAACACGGATGGGCATGTTTCCACTAGATGCAATCGCTACCCCGACCCTTTGTCTCGGGCGATCCAAGTAACCAAACTGGGGCTGTGCGAGCGGTGTCTAAAGGGATCACATCCCGAAGACTGTGGGGCAGCATGCAGTATCTGCCAGCTTCCCCACAATGCGCTCATGTGTCCGTCAAAGGCACATACACCAAAGCAACCCCACTACAAGAGGAGGAAGTTTCACCGCTCTCCTTACTAAATTTTTGCGGCCTTATTGTTCCTGCCTACTGCTCCTCCATAATCTCTGCCATCACCAGAACAACGGATATCGCCTACTGTTCCTACCGTATTCCTGCCCCTACTCCACCACAACTACACCTGCCTACTGCTCCTGCCCATTGCTCCTGCCTATTGCTCCTGCCTATTACTCCTGCCTACTGTTCCTGCTTACTGCTCCAGACACTAACGCACTCGGACGCAAATCGCACCAACTCCAACCACCAACGCACTCCAACGCAACTCGCACCAACCTCAACCGACGCTCCATGACGACGCATGAGGATGTACTCTATGATAGTATTTCATTTATGTCGAAATTTTTGTTGTTGTTATTGTATTGTTGCCCCCCCCCCCCGGCCGGAGTGTTCGGCCATCTGCCCGAACCCTACCATAAATCACCCGCCATAAAAGCGGGCGGGTTCGGGGGGCCGGGGATTAGCGGGGCGACAGCCTTGCGAGTCCACAATAAAACGTTGTAAGGAACGGTTGTGTGCTCACATCGTAGCTGCCAGATACACTGGCACACGAAGTCTCAGAAAAAAACTTTTCTGCTCATCAATCCATATTTTTTGCCCGTTGGTGATATGAGTATGGGGGGGGGGGGAGGGGGAGGGTGTAGCCCGGAAGGCGACAAAACCCAGTTGGAGCGAGCGCATGGAGGCCACGCCCCTCCTGGGCGCCTGCGACACTGAGCGTCAGGTCAATCAGGCCAGGGACTGACGCTTTTTCGGCACACGCGCTGGCGCACGAATGGTAACAGCATTCTTTGGAGTTTCCATTGTTTTACTTGTTGCCTTCGGTTAAACTAGTGGTCAAATATGGGCTAAGCAGCGTACGGAGTAAATGTGTCACTTGAAATTTATTCCCTTGTTGATACTTGTCCATGAGTTTGGTAATGCAACTTTTGGTTTCCTCAATTCAAGGTTGAAAAGATCAAGCATTACAGACCTACGAGACAAGTCATTATAGCATTGGAACAAATGAGAGAACATAATCGCAATTCGCCGCCCAAAAGACGGGTTCCTTTGTTTCACGGAAGTCGATTTGTCACATTCAGATTCATAGATCATGCACCGCAACGACTGAGCTTGTCATGAACGGTAATCAAGACATGCAAAGGCAGTGTGGTATTGTTCAAACAGACAAGATAAATCAAAACTATCATACTGTTGCAAATCAGCTCCCTTTCGGTGGAAGAGATACAAACTCTTTTTGCAGGAAATCCAGAATTGTCCAATTACTCAACCCGCTAGCATACTCGCATTCTGTCCATAATCAATTCTATGACCTTTCCTCGGCTTTTCTGCGCTCTTCTGTTTTACAGTTTGAACGATAAATCTTTATTCTCAATGAAAAAAAAGGCAGCGATGCTAACAATCAGAAAAAAGAGTGATTATTATATCACTATAACATTACAGTGTATTGCAAGGAGAACTCGCAAAACGCGCATTACTTTTGCACCAATCTAATATTTTCGAGGATGATTAATCTCTCAACAGGAGGCAGTGGCGTACCGAGGAGGGGAGGGGGGGGGGGGGAGCGCCAACTCGAGAATGGGTCGCGAAATTTTTGAAACCTACTTACATGGGTTATAAAAATGTGCAAATGACTTGTTCAAACTATTTTGGGGCTATGGGCCCGTAAAAATTTCGTACTCAAATATTTTTTCGGAGTGCGTGACTGACGCCACGCACCTTCATCAGGGAAAATTTTTGTAGCCCCTCCCCCTCGAGCGCAAATCCTGGGTACGGCACTGCCAGGAGGGGATAGATTTTCTCAACTGTTGTGATCCTCCGTAGAAGCTTGTATTCATCTGCTTCAGGAGTGCCGTCCATCTGGGCACTTGGGACCAGATAGAAGGACCAAAGATCGGCCAAACTGGACAAGCAAAGTGAGTAGATCTTCTCATATATAAAGATGATGAATGTCTGTTTGTCTGTCTGTCTGTATGTCTGTCTGTACGTATGTTCCGAATAGTAAATTCCATTTTTGAACCGATCGGGACCAGACTTGGCACACATAAACTTCGGGGCCGGGCGGGTGTCATAGGCTACTTTTCGTCATCGATCGATGTCGGTTTTTTTCGGTTTTTTGCAAAATTTGAGCTATAGGGCTGGGAGTTGGCCCAGGGGGTAATCGAGCATGCTGATTACAAATATCTTATTGACAGGCCCGAGCGGAGCCGGGTTTGCCAACTATTATTACATAAGATGCGATGGCCAATTGCGAAATTTGAAAGATAAGGATGGCGCCATATTTCGGTCTGTTTTTTAGATTGAAAAGCTCAAAGCAGAACTTGCGGGCATGAAAAAAAAGATTCTGGTGATGATGTGCCTGCTTTTTGTTTCTCCTTTGTGAGATACTGGAGAGGAGGTTTGCTAGACCCACCCTTTCGAAATATAGCTAATTTTACTCATTTTTGTACCTTGAGCTTTGTTCGGAGGTCGACTGTCTCGTGTTATTTTCAAAATATGGTACCCCCAGAATTACTTAAGGGAATGTTGCCAGTTTGTGCGAGTAATTGGAAGTCTGTTCGCTCCGCCCCCTCGCACTTTGAAAAACTGTAATTTCAGTTGGGCTCCATCACCATGGATTGCGCAGTGTCTGTATTCTGAAGGAGAAACGGTGCAGATGCCGGATGGGAAATGCTACAAAGCTCGTGGATCAGCATCCTTGAAAACAGTCGCCGCTGAGCCCGGATGTCCGGAACATGACAAGTTTTATGTCAGTTTGCTCCGTTTTACTGCAATTTGGGGATCTTTTGAAGCTTCAGATGTTCTGTGGGCGACCATGCACCCTGATCAACGGGATGTGCATATTTGAAGGTGCATTGATTGTGGCGCAGTTCTGGATGCTTGTTCTGACAACGGATTGGCAACACATCGTTACCTTGGTGCTGCTGATGTTTGCCAATTATTTGTTGTTAGCGAAATTGTTCAAGGATAAGGTAGGGTCCTACATCTTCTATATTTAGAAAAAAGTATGCGCAACTTTCAACTTTTTTTAATCGAAAAGATATGTTAGCAACTTTGTGTCATTCATATTTGATTGATGACCAATAATTCTTTCGTCTATAATTAATATGCAGACTTTTGGGTATCTTTTCATAGAGTTGGCTTTATCTAAAACCGAAAGGGTAAAGCCAGTTAGTGAAAGATTTTTGTAAGTTGGGTTACGGTAGGAACTTTCAGCAAGAAAACTACATTGTATTTTGAGCGGCATTTCAAAAAACCTATGCTTGTTCAAGTCTTTTAAAGGGCCACACAAATTTGTTTGGAAGTCATTTCAAATGACTAAATTTTCTGACTTTTTTGAGATTTTGCTGAGCAGAAAGTGACTATCAGTGGCGTAGACCACTTGGAACTTCCTACAGTAAGCTGCATTGAAGGAAATCAATGATCTATTCCAATGTATAAATTTGGGTTTTGGACCATACAAAGTATCGTTTATTCATCTGACTTATTTTAAAAAAGGGCAGAGTTGTAGACAAACTAATTTCCTTTTGTTTTAGGTAATCATTGGTCGCATCTACGAGCCTTCGCCAGAAGATCTGGCTTTGATCCAGCAGATCCAACAAGAAAATCGAATGGCTCACTAGTTTGTTTTTTAGAGCATAATTTTCAGCAAGTAATATGTTACAAGTATTTTTTGGCATTCACTTACCTTGCGTTGATTGTATATACTTGATCTTGCCAAGAAGTTGTTAATTTATCGGTGGAGGTTGTTTGTAAATAATGAAGATTGCTTCTATTGTTTGTAACGGTTTGGATGGCGGTGCTACCTCAAACATTTTTGTAATTTTCCTTCCTGTATGTAGGCATTTGTTTTAACAAGCTATGTGGTGTCGACTCTAGATGGAAACCACACCACCACTATCTTGGATGGTGCATCCCATAAAGGTCCAGCTTGTCCGCGGAGGGCGTGAGCAATTTGTGGAAGGAAACTTATATACTGTAGATCCGGTCACTGGAAGCTTGGTGTTGCTCCAATTTCAGAACGAAAGTGAGCTGTTTTGTTTTTTCGTTTTTGCAGTAGAGGTGAAGTGTGCAAATGAAATGATGATTTTGCGCTGATAAACATATTTCTGTCTCAACCAAGGGGATCTTTAAATCAACGGAATTGAAGACACCTCATTTTATCTGGTATTTTTCTATTTCATTTCTGGTTCAATAAGTTTGATGTGAGTCCATCGGAGATTTTGAGAACTGAATCGCAAAATTACACTATAGACGCTGGTGACATAACATGGTTTTCTTGGCTTCCATCGGGTGGTCCACGTAAAGTGCAGAAATTTTTCATTATGCCATTTAATCAAGTGGCAAACTTTGTCTTTATCTGGTAGTCAAGATAGTCTTGTAAAAGACTTTGTAGATTAATTTCAAGATGTTTTCTCTAGCTTTGGCAAAAGCATTTTCTCGCTTTTGAAGGTTGTTCACGATCGCGCAATGGTCCTTTAACGAAATTTCGTCCAACTACGACTGGCATGAATTTGGAAGGGCAGACTTCCTCACAGATAGGATAGGGACAGTCCGTGGGTCTGTTGGGCCAGTTGGAAAGCCAAACATCATTTTTTGAAATTTCCGGAGGATAGATCTTACACCATCGCTGTAATTCCTTTTTGCCGTGGGCATTTGCCTGGTCCTTTCAAATCCAGACAACTGTTTCGGACCTAGAAAGCAACACAGTCCTCTGAAATTTGCTTCCGAGTGTTTTTCAGGATCTCAAAAACCAGAGATCTGTGGTATAGCGATTGCAATCAAAAATTCTTCGAATCAGTTCGTTCCGACTAGATACCGAAGTCAAAAATTGCTGGAACTTTTCAAAAGAATCTGGACCTAAGCTTCAGAAACATAGCATATAGACTAAAAATGGGTTTTCCTCCCGTCACTCTTCATTTGAACCACTCTGTAAGCAACTTTAATCTGTCGGATAAACAAAATTCTCAAGAAGGCATTTTGCAGTCGTATGGCAAACCGTCCGTTCCACTTTACCGTCTCAAAACCTTCACCAGCTTGCTACTTCTAAGTGCCATTATCGTAATCGTTATGAAAATTACTGTTTAGAGCCGTCAAAGCTTCTCTGGATTCCTCGTGAAGGTTATACGTCTGTTTCCATTTTGGACGAGCCATCTAATTATTGCCAACGGCACAGCGTAGAGTTGGCAGATATGATGAGCCACATGCTTGGTATGCGACAGGTTGAAGAATATGATGCTAATGAAGTCGAGCAAAGGTTGTTCATGTGAAAAACTAGATACCAAAATGGGTAGTCAAATATAGTGGAAATTCTAGTCGTGGCCGCCTCTTGTCCTGGCTCGAAGCAAATCATGTTGACGTTAAACAGTGCGAAGACGGATCTCTTCTGATCTTTGGAGCAGCTCGTATACATCCACCATACACTGAGGAAAATTGTACCAGTGATAATGCTATTGTTTTGAAAAGATTAAGAGCTCTAGTTGCAAAAGTGCCCAAGCAATAATTCGCTAAAACCCTCTTTCACTGTGTCTTCCTCTGTGCCCTAGAATTGACTTCATTTGATCTCGTTTTGTTCCCTATTTTTCCTCTGTATAATTTTATGAGATTTCTGGTTACTTATCATCAAAAATTTGTACTCGTATTCTGATAAATCGGCATGAGTGCGTGCTTCACTTGCCGCAGAAATGGCAACAGTATTCTGTTAAAACAGGAACACTTTGACTCATACAAAATCTGCATCCAGAAAGCTGAAACGAATTTACTTGGCAGAGAACACCAAAGAAGGGGTTATCTTTTAACTACACCTATATTCTCGCTTACTTTTTTCATTTTTGGGCTGGCATCTGAATAATCGCTTTCACCTGAGGTCAAGACGAAAAAGGGCAAACAAAAATCCACGGTTTCATCTGTATTTCACTGCCTAAGAAAGTCGAGAAAGAAGGAGGACAGGGTACGCGGTTTAAAATTTGTCATTATACTCTGAAAAATGAAAGGAACTCTTTTTCCTCAAAATCTTAGCACGGAAATCAGAGATTCAATAGCCTTGGTGAAAGTACTCCTCTTATTTCAAGTTAAAAAAAGCTAAATAAAAGTGTTGTTCGCTCATTCGCAAAGCCTCTTGGAACAGTGCAAAATCCAATAATTCTGACGTTTTTGAGCAGGATTTAATGACAAACCTCAATATCTCTAACAATAAGTATCAATGACGTACCCAGGATTCGCTCGGGGGAGGGGGGGGACCGAAAAATTTTTTTGGGGGTGCTTTCGAAAATTTTTGCGGACACATGACCCCGAAATTTCGAATACAACCCGAAAATTTTTTGCAAAATCAATTAGAACTTTTAAAAATTTTTCAAAATTATTTTAATCTCTCTATAAATGGAGCAAAAACCTTTATGTCTGTAGACATTCCCCTTAGTCGCGGAGGATAGCGGTGAAGCGCATTTTGGTTGCTGGCCATCAGGGCCGATAGTAATCCCCCCGACCTGGCGGCAGGTCTCGTCGGCAGGTCGCTGGCACCTTTTCCGTGAGGTGGCCAGAAAGTGAGACCCCAAATTTAGGCCGTCCCAGGCCTTTCTCCAAAAAATTTTCTCGATAAAGATGCCGCCTCGACTCTGTAGAAAACTCCATACGTCTGCGGTTCCAGTACTCCTCCTTTAGGCTTGAGATATACCTGACGATGGGTCGCTATAGCTGACGATAAGACGCCGCCAGCAGCAACGCCTTTTGCGCGTATCGATTGACGCCAGACGACGCCGCTGCTCCTGGCTGCTGCAGCCAACGCGAAACTGACCCGCTATACTTAGCGATGCTGCGCTGCTCTACGCTGCTCGTAGCTGCTATGCGCTGCTCCTTGCTGCTCTGCGATCTGAAGCACACTTTTTCTGAGCTTTTCTCAGCTGCTTTTGGCGATTTTCATGAGATTGTCCTCATTTTTGACCGTTTTCATCCGTTTTTGATCATTTTTTCATTTTTTTTTCATTTTCTGAGAAAAGTCTGTTATATTTCTGAAAAAAATGGTTAAGAAACGATTCACGTAAGAACGAGAATGTTAAAAATGAGTCCTACGACAACGGAGCACCCCCAAGTAACAATAACACAAAACAAATGATCGAAAATACACAATAGGGGGCGTAATAACCCCATAAACTAATATAATGTGATAAAAAGTGCTGCTGGCAACTTGTCGCGCCCTAGATGCTCGCAGCGCGTGTTTTCGCAGCCTGCGTCGGCGGCAAAGAAATCGCCGCTAGCAGCGAAGAGCAGCGCAGACATCAGCGATTCGCCAACACCCGCTATACCTCTATCGTCAGGTATATCTCAAGCCTTAGGCTCCCGCCAGAGTGCCGAAGCCATGCCAGCGCTACGCCAGCGCCGAGCTAGCGTTTCGATCCATACACGTGTATTTCATTGGGGCGGGGTCTTGGCTGAGAACTAGGTCAGCTAGCCCTGCCCCAACGAAATACACTTGTATCGATCGAAACGCTGGCTCGACGCTGGCGTAGCGCTGGCATGGCTTCGGCACTCTGGCGGGAGCTTTAGTAAAATATCTGGAAGCGCGGGAGGAGCTGCCGGCAACTTCGCGAAGTCAGTTGCCAGCAACCTGCCGGCAGCTCGTCGAAATCCGCAAGATGGCAGCTGCCGGCAGGTCAGAGAGCACGGGAAATAGCGTGCTCTTTTGAGAGAGGGAGCTGCCGGCATCTCGACGTGCCCCTACCACGTCGAGGTGGTGGCATCTTTGCCGACGGCGTCTGCGAGTTTGCGATTTGCGGCGATATCACACAATTTACGTCAGGCGAAGAAATCAAAAATTCTACTTTTCATCAAAAAAAACTATAATTTTTCTCATTACATGAGTTTTTCTTTTTTAAAACGACGAGTTTCTTACAGAGAAAAAATCCAGTAATGCCTTAAAATCAAAAAGAACACCATCTTTTTTGGCAATCCCTTATAAATCTCGTTTGCACCGATTTCGTCCCTCTGTCGCTCATATCAATCAGCTGTTCTTTCAGGTCAAAGTCTCTCACGCAATGTATCGATCCCTCTTACAGGCAGCAATTTATCAGCGCGTTCCTCCTATTGCTGGTGCAAATCGCGATTGCTGACCGAATGGTCGAGTGGTTAACGTGGTGGCACTTCACGTTAACGCACACGGGTTCGACCGAGGGCGAGGTAGCAATTTTGCGGCTGTCTGCGTCGTCAAAATTTAATGTGCGAAATGATTGCGTGCTAAGGTTACATAAGAATATCAAAACCTATAATCACTCCGCGAGCTGTCGGCGGAGTTGGCATCTTTCCGCGATGTGTACCAACTTGCCGGCATCTATGATGCCACCAGATAGGGTAGATTACTACCGGCCCAGGTGATGGTAAGGATGGTAGGAAGCGAACCCAAGAGAAATCAAAAGTAGGATAAGTTTCGCTACCTAAGAAGTCAAGCACGATGGACTGGCTCCAAAAAGGGGTCGAACCCGGGATGCCAGCTCGTTATTTATATGTATAAACAAGTCACTTGCACATTTTTATGACCTTAACTTTCAGAAATCTCGCGACACATTTTCGGGGGGGGGGGCTTGACTCCAACGGACCACATTATAGCAAGACTTCCAATAGTAGGAAGGTCAGGACTTAGCACACGTGACACGCTGACAGGCTGTAATCTTTTCAGTTATATAGCAAAGAGGATATTGTTTCTGCAGATTATCACTATATTTTCATCCTATAAGGGTTTCCCTCCTTATTTTGGAATATTCTGAATCTTAGACTAATTTCGGTACCTGTATAATGCAGTACTTGTTTCCTGTTTTGAGATTATGTACAGTCAAGTGGTTGGTCACCCCTCCACAATTACTGCAACCTCTGCTCTGCGTTTATGACTTGCGCCACGGAGGCGGTCTTTTCGCACAGGCGGAACTACGCTTCGCCTTCAGAAAGCTCAGCTACGCCATAGAAAGCTTAAAATCTGTAGTTACTACATTGTACGATTGATTATGGAGTATCACTAGGTGAATGCATGTGTATCGAAGTTGTTGGAGATATTTTCCTTCAATCTATCGCTAAAAATCTCGGGTAAATGAGTCGGTGAATTTACTTTCATTGCAACTGGTCATTGTACTGAAAATATAATATTACGTTGTCCCGAAAGTTTTGTCGGTTTTTTAAACAACTATAAAATCACGCACAGTAAAGACCTGAATGAGTTTCAAGGTGCATTCCATGCAGCTTTCCCTTCTCTTTCTAAAGGTTACATTTTTGAACCACAATCTTGTATGCTTTCTTTGGTAATTGCCAAAATTCTCCACCCGTGATTTTATCTGCTCAAAGTTAGGGTAATTTTTAAAAATTTCAAATCGAAGTTTGGAAAAGGATCAAGTATGAATTAAGTAGAGCAATTCTCGGGCTACAAGGCCTTATTTTTAGATTCTTCCAATCTGGTGTTTTTAGCTTCAAAAAATTATTTCTTCGGAGGTCTCGATTTTTGACAAAGTCATGAAACACCTGACTGCAGCAAATACACGAAAGCTTTTGAAGTTTTTGCGCATTAAAACGTGATTCTTATTGAACGTTATTTATGCAATATAAACAAGTTTGATTTGCTTCAAAAAGCAGCTTTTTGGAATTTTCGGTACTTTTACGTGGTAAACGTAGTCAAAAAGCCATGGTTTTTATTGAATAAATAATTATAACGGACTTGGTAAACGTGACCCATGTAATCTAAAATGGGCATAATGTAGCCAAAGGTTTGCTCTACATAAGGGTTAGCGGAGATCTTTGAAAAAATCAGGATAGAACTTTTTAAAATTCAAGAAAGATTTGACGTTACTGCTGAGCTGTTCAAAAAGCCAAGGCGATAACATCGCAAAGACGGGTCAGATCAGACAGCAAATTTAGAAGTAAGAAAGAAGAAAATCTGAATAGAATGGTACCTAGGTCGTTCATAGATTGATGTTCTGTGAGTTAGAGTGAGCGATGAAAAAAACCGACAAAACTTTCGGGGCAACCTAATAGATTGCGTGCTTTATTATTCAGTAACAAAAAGGAGACTATTCGTTGAAAAAAAAAACATTGCATTCTTATATTTTATTATGAATGTCTCTGATAAAACAGATTGTATAATCCTTTTGGTGACACGCATTCTTTCTAGTGGTGTTAGACCAAAACTTTTTTTGAGATTCTTATGTAACATAAGCCAAGAAGGACAACAACCTCATTTGCAATCTCCTAACATTCATAATAAATGTAGAAGGCGACCATCAAGCGATATCTGTGGTGAAAGCCAATATCTTTCGCGTCTTTATTATCAGTGTCAGTAGGAACGTGACTGAAAGCGTGTAAAAGCTCCGTATCGACGTAAGTAGTTTAGTTCCAAACATCTCGTTTTTTCTCCGATTTGGCCTATTCAGCTTATCATTCGCAATGATTTGCGTTTAATCTTCTTTAGCAAAGCTTCTCGGTCTAAACACGATTACCTCCATGTCTTGCACTTTCACATAACTTTTGAAGGTGTTTTACGCGCAAAATCTTGCATTACCTGCTTAAGTGCGTTTTATTACGAGAGAAAGGTGGGAGTTTCCTTGCTACTTGATAAGGACCTTTTAGCGATAAAAATGAAACAATCACAAAAAATCCCATGGCCATATTGAACTCAGCTGACTGACCACTACAAAGCTTAAACAAATTTTCAGCTTGGTACAACAATGGTAAGCGACGGATTTCGCATTTTTATATGTGATCAAAGGAGCTGCGTTTGGGATTGTCTTGCGCAGTTCGTATGTCAATTTCCTTTACTGACAACTTTGTTCCGAATTCGCAATTTCTCAAAAAGCTAAAACACAGTTCTCCTGCTCACTCACTGCTCTCCTTTTTGCGATGCAATCAGAGATACCGCACAACTCACAATGAAACAGTCGTCACTCAAGTATCAAGCTAAGAGCAATAGTGTCCACAGCGCTTTGAAAACTCATAGCAGGTCGGTACCAGCGGTGATTTGTGAAAAATTTGAGATTTAGCCTTGTGAAAATTTTGCCGGCAAGCCTCTCAATAAAATTCCGAGATTACTGATCCACCAAAATGTAAAGCACCTCAAATTTTTCTCGGCGGGCGTGGAACGCCCTCCATTTGAAATTCTATCGTTTCCCACTCCCCGCTCCTCAGACGAGAGATAAGGGGGTGGACATATTAGGTTGTCCCGAAAGTTTTGTCGGTTTTTTTCAAACCACTACAAAATCACGCACAATAATTTTTAAAATTCTCCATCCGCCAATTTTATCTGGTCAAAGATCGGGTAATTTTTAAAAAATTCGTTCTAAAGTTTCCAATATGATCAAGTATGATTCTAATAGAGCAATTCTCGAACTAAAAGGCCACCTTTTTCAGATTCTCCTAATCTGCTGTTTATGCCTTGAAAAAAATTATCTCTTAAGAGGTCTCGATTTTTGGCAAAGTCATGAAACACGCAAATGCAGCATATTCACGGAATATTCAAAGTTTCTCCGAATTGAAAAATGATCCTTATTAAAGATCATTTATGCAACATGACCAAGTTTGATTTGCCTTGAAAAAGCAGCTTTTTGAAATTTTCGGTACTTTTACGTGGTAAATGTAATCAAAAAGTCGCGGTTTTTATTAAATAATTGATTATAACGGACATGGTAAACGTGGCCCATGTAATCTAAAATAAAAAGAATGTAGCCAAAGGTTTGCTCTACATAACAGTTACCAGCGCTCTTTGAAAACAATAGCACGAAAATTTTTAAAATTTAGGAAAGATTTGGCATTACTGTTGAGCTGCTTAAGAATGGCGATAACATCGCAAAGGCAGGGTAGATCAGAGATGAAATACAGCTGTATGAAAGAGGATAAAAACTTGAATCAAATGGTATCTAGCTTGCCCATGGATTGGTGTTCTGTGAATTTCAGTGATCGATGAAAGAAACCGACAAAACTTTGGGGACAACCTAATATGATGAGGGGATGTAAGTTGACAAATAACATGATTTGAAATTGTGTTCAGCCACACTTAGCCCCGTTAAAGTCAAAAGTAAGCCAGGGCCCGGCATGATTATGGCAAATCTTAGTTGATCGTTCTATATGAAAAGGCCAAGGAGTTATCATAATCACCCGTTCATACGTATACATACCCCTTATTGTTTGACATGCTCACGTCGTGAAAAACAGATCTTTGCACGAGTAACGTGTTCAAACATGATCGTGTTCAAGACTGCAACGCACACGAAGGATCGTTGGTCCAACGAGGGAGGATTCTTATCGAAGTGGCCGTATGGGAAGTGATGCAGATGGGTAGATAGCACTTCGAACGCATCTTAAATATTCATTATCTGCGCAACATTTTTGTAAATATAGTTATGGGCCTTTGCTTTCTTCATAACGGGCTTCCCTCTATCAAGGCGCAACAAGGCATTTACGTTGACGCGGCGTGGTGTTTCGGTAAATGGCTGCGGTTTACAGGTTAGTGAACAGGGCTCGAGTCCTTGTCACTCAGCAGTTTTGCATTCTAAGACGGCTTTATTGTAGTATTCTCAATTCTTGTGCGTTGATAATCCAAAACTCGCTTATTCTTGACACTTGTAAAATCGGCAAGAGATTGGCTATTGAATTTCATGCTTTTTCTAGAAAGGACAGCTTTTTATCTATAACTAAAAAAGTGCTCCACTGTTGGCCACATTCAAAAACTGATCACTTGTGCTCGAACCGCGAAGCGGCACGATGTAGATTTGTAGTACGCGAATGTCTCGAATATTTATTAGGTGGGTGCAAAAGTTCTTGCGCCGAATTTTCAAAAAATCATAACTTCCTTGCCACTCCATGGATTTTCTTGATTTTAATTTCATCTGAAAGAGGAAACCATTCCCTTTTCAACGGTACCTTTGCTGTGAAGCGTCGTTAGAAAGTTCCAAAGCTAGCAGCAATTGAAGGAAAGTAGTCAAGATCGACATTTTTCAAGCTGGTTCACGAAAAATTCTGCAAGTATTCTTATTTGATAGAGAAAATTTTGCACATTACAGTGGTACCTTTTTCATTGATTAAAACGAAGTAGATCGAGAGTTAGAAGCAATTAAAGAGAATTTCTTTAGTTTTGCAATTTTTGAGCACAATCAAAAAAGCTTGAAAACGTCACAGAATAGGCGAAAAAGTCGTAAACATGGGTTTTGTGATCTTCCCTTTCTAGCTGAGCGAAAATCGTGCCAATCGGGAGCAATTTTTATTTTTCGTGATTTATTCGGATTTTCGGGTCTGCGTTTTTCACGAAAATGAAAATTGCTCCCGATTGGCACGATTTTCGCTCAGCTAGAAAGGGGAGGTCACAAAACCCATGTTTATGACTTTTTCGCCTGTTCTGTGACGTTTTCAAGCTTGCAGAATTTTTCGTGATCCCAGCTTAAAAAATGTCGATCTTGACTAATTTCCTTCAATTGCTTTTAACTCTCGAACTTACCAACGCTAATTCATGGCAAAGGCACCGCTATAAAGAAAAAGGTTTTCTCTTTCAAACAGAAATAAATGTAAAAAATTCCACCAAGAAGGAAGGAAGTTATGGTTTTTTGAAAATTCGGCGCAAGAACTTTTGCACCCACCTAATATTACTTGCACAAGGTAAAAGAGGTTACAAGAACCAGAAAACATAAGTTGCCTGAGAAGATTACCTTCGGGCTCCTCGTCGGGATAGGCCTTACGTCCTCCTTGAACTCCCGGCTCCCCCTTTAAGAGCCCTGCGGCTCTCTCAAAACATAATTCACAGATAAGCCGTGATGTTTATAAACTATGATGAGGCACGCAGTACCGTGTTCTCATTCATTGGAATCATGATCGTGAGAGTCAGACAACTTGTAGCGAGATTACGATTACCGCTCACGCGTGGCATTTTCGAAGGCAAGCAATATTTTTAGTTAAATGCAAAATTGCTGGGCGATAACAGGACTCGGACCCTGTTTACTCACCTGTAAACCGCAGCCATTCACTACTATACCACGCCGCCACAACTAAACGCCTTTCCACGCCTTGATAAAAGGAAGCACGTTGTTGGGGGAAAACAAAGACCCCTAACTCTTTCTGCAGGAAAACTCCGCAGATCAAGAAAACGTATTTGAGATCAGCGTTCGAAGAGCAATCTACTTATTTGCATCACTTCCCATATGGCCGCTTCGACCAAAAATCCTTCCCTGGTGGGTGGCTTTTCAAAAACCACTTACCCTCTTGAAAGACATCAAACGCTGATCATAATTCTGCCCTCCTTACTTGCCTAGCGCTTCTGGACAAGAAGTCATGAGAGCTTTTGTACCAAGTCTACGAGGGCGTGAACTCAAGGAAATCATTTACACAAGTCTTGTGAGGTCAAGAGGAACATTAGTGAACCTTGCATCATTCTACCAGGAAAACTTTCTTGTTTGCTACTCTGACGTTCGCATTTATTCCATGTGCGAGTGGGAAAGGCAGTAAGCATCAACTTTTCCTGATCAAAATTTCGGTTTTTTGCTCAAAAGTTCAGAATTCTCCACACCCAGTGTCGATTGGCAGACATGGAAAACAGAGAAATTAGCGTTCAGTGTAGTACAGACTTTATGCATTTCAACTGAATTCCCTTGCAAGTAGTTTGGAACAAAAAAAAACGTTGCAAAATGTTAACTTTGCGTGGTGATCTTTCGCTTTTGAAATGTTAAAACAATCCTTCTAAAATTTGATAATTGGGGGAAAAAGGTGAATCGAAGCGTGGCCACTTGGTCGTCTTCCATTAGTTCTGGTGATCAGGACGGACAAAATTTTTAAGACGACTTAATATCTACATGCTGGTTTCTGGTTCAAAGTTCCCATTCTTTGGTAGCAGTAAACTGACATGAAAGTTACTCTAAAATCATGAAAATCATTTTACCATCGACAACTTTTGAGATCGATAGCATCACATACAAAATCATTGTTGACTATGAATAGATGTAAATCCCGTCGTGTAAACACACTGTCTTCTCTGCTCTAAAATTCGAAAACAATGATGGTGATGAGTGGATATTGTTCGTACGCGAAAAGACAAGGGGTTAGAGGGTGTATAAACTTCGTGAGGTTCTGGGCAGCATCAATGAAGTGAGTCATAGATAGAGAGTTTTCAAGCCTCAAGCAGTGCTGAATGATCTTATAAAAAGTTTTCTAAAGATTTGTACGATTTGCTCTTATCCAAGCATTAATCATTTTTCCAATAAAGAGTGACTAACTAACAAGTATTGGATCTATTTCAGAATAATCGGAATGGTGCTAATTCTCGCATTACTGACAACGGTATTGGCCACAGATCCGTTGATAAAAGGTTGTTACATTTTTAATGAAAAAAGGATGAAGGATTCGGCTTCGATACCCTCTGCGGGCATGCGGCAAACGCACACTACTTCATAGTCGAAAAGGCATTTGTGCGCGTGCGAGCCTACTGCAGTGACTTGTGGGGCAGCCGATTACCAAGTCATGCTTTTATCCTCCCCGATTACCTTGGTACTACCAATTAACCAGCCCTGGAAGAGGGCTTGATTGGCCCAGGAGCGGGGACCTGTGTCCAATTTGGTCATAGCGGCGCCTCATAACACCACGTCTCGCCTCACTGTTACATTTTTGGTCTGTACAATTTCTCATCAAAAAAAATTAGTCGCTCCGGCAAGTGATACCGTTCCACTGATTTTAAATGATCTAGCAAGGGATGCACATGATCTTACATCTTGTAAGCGTGTGAATGGCATTTTAGCCCTATACAGTATCAGTGTTTACATTGCAAGGTCGCTAGAAATGATACTGCAGGAAGATGTACGATCAGTAAATTACTCGCTACGTATTTCATACAGCCTTTTCAGTATCTTCACTAATAAAGATTTTTTCCGAGACTTTCCGAAAAGTTCTATGACAGTCCATAAGATCAAATCCCTATTTTTCAAAAATCTTCTGCCTAATATGAAGAACCTATCCCGTGCGGGAACCAGATAAGTGAGTCCGCTAGTGTCAACCAGGGCCCGGCACGCGTTGGTTTGGAGCATTTTTGAAAACGAAGTCCCTCATGAGTTCGCGAAAACTTACGAAGTCCTTCTTGACGTAAAAATCAGTAGGGGAACCATTATTCAATCAAAAACACCAAAAAAAAGCGAAAAAAGCGCATTGATGTAGATACCTAATATAACAAAAAAAGCAAAAGGAAAACATTTCGAGTTGATTAAAGGCTCTGTCATTGGGTAGGGTACCATTTCAGTGCTCAGAATGTCGAAAACCTCCTAGGCCAATCAAATCTGTGGCCTCAACAATCTGGCGATGCATTTTTCGCCACACAGTTCAAAAGATACCGCGTGCAATTGGAGCGCAATATCTATCAACGCATAGATTTACACTATTTTTAACTCAAAAAAAGAGGAGAGACAATAGTTTGATTCGCTCTCTTCACAATATGATAGATTTTTGACCGTTCTAATCGTTCAAATCAGAAAGAGCCAAAACTTATGTGAACTCTCCGATATCTATGCTCCAAACCAACCCAGTTGGTTTGGTGTTGGTCTAGAAACCAACAAACTCGGGAACGGATATTAGGACACAAAAGTTTTGGGAATTTTTTACATAACATAATTTGGAGTAATATTGTATACACATAGCCCAATTCGGAGCTATGTGATTGTTTGTGCGGTGTAAACAAGCCGTTTGTTTGTTTGAGTCTTGCGTTTGACGTTCGCGCGCTTGCGAAAGAACACGTTAAACTCGTATAACCTGACATGTTCGTCGTTTTTTTTTATCGGCGCTTCCCCCAGCACGTTATAAAAACGATATCCCCTTTGCTTCTAACTTCAAAAACGAAGTCCATTTTGACCCCAAACCATCTGTGCCGGACCCTGGTGTCGACGCTCTTCTTCTAAGCACGGCTCGGCACAATGTGGCTTTCCGAAAGTGCAAATAACGAGGTCTTCTTTTCACAAGGCCTTTGACCCCAAATCCTAAACATAAGAACCGTTCCCCCCTCCTCTCAAAAAACGAAACGTCGATAAAAAAACGTAATCTAAATTGTGTTTTGTCGACCACAAAAACGATATCCTCTTTAATTTCCACGTACTCTCTTCTTTAAACCTGGGCATGATGTATCGAATATTGTATAGTGTTGTTCTGCCAACCAGGTTTTGTGGTGGATCTTTATTCTTGACCTTACGTTTCGACAATTACCGTCTTCTTCGGAGGTCTGAAAGGGGATTGCGGTTATATTATCTGTTAGTCTATACGACCAAACGCCTCGTCAGGCTTCCGTCGTTTGAACCTTGTCGAGGCGCAACGTGCCGAGAAACAATCCAAAATGGATTCACCAACCTCTAGTCCACCATGGAGTCAGGCCGGAAATCCGGGAATGAACAACAAAAATGAACGCGTGACAATAACGGCCGATCTCTTGCCTCTTATGTCACTATGTGACCTTGAACCGCACAATATATATAGTCCAAGACTCACTGAGCAACCTCAGTGATGTCCGTCACATTCGTGCGGACTACTGACTCCATGGTGGACTAGAGGTTGGTGAATCCATTTTGGATTGTTTCTCGGCACGTTGCGCCTCGACAAGGTTCAAACGACGGAAGCCTGACGAGGCGTTTGGTCGTATAGACTAACAGATAATATAACCGCAATCCCCTTTCAGACCTCCGAAGAAGACGGTAATTGTCGAAACGTAAGGTCAAGAATAAAGATCCACCACAAAACCTGGTTGGCAGAACAACACTATACAATATTCGATATCCTCTTTACTTTTTGTCCCAAAAACGATATCCAGCTTGTCTAGAAGCTATGCAGAGCTCTGCTTTTGACTCGCATGAAGCTACCTTATAAGTCAATTCGGAGAAGCCTGTTCAAAGTACGCAGTGCGATAGTGTGATTTTATCAGCCAGCGTTCAGAAGATTCGCACTTTTTTGTCCAATTTGAATGAATTTCCTATGTACTATTTGCATCTTAAAGTGATGATCTGGCACCTGTGACTTATGGAAGAGAGGGATTAGCATGAATAACAACCAACATGAAAATATTGCTTTTGTACGTAATTTTTCCTAAGCCTTTAAAAATGATTATCGATGGTTCCATAGAAAAGTTACCTTTCTATAAAAACTGAAGACCGTTCTCATTTTTGTGCTCATGATTTCGCTTTATCTTCTCCTGACGACATGCATAGCTTCGAAATTGCGGTGATGTATTTTTACAAGCGGTTTAGCATTTGAAAATCTGAAAAATGTAAAGTGTTAACAGATATTTTAACATTCGCCCTGTATATAGGAAGCAATCCTTTTTCTTCTGTAGTGATAATTGAACAAAATTGACGAGAAATTATTCTTATTGGGAGGAAGGGCATTTTTTATGCTATGTTTGAACAAAATCGATCGTAAATAGTACAGAGTTTCGAATGAAGTTATGCAAGGTCAATGATAAATTTATTCTACCGAGAAAAGACAGCAGATGAGATATATTTTAGATGATATTGCCGAGCACTTGAAAGGCCGAGCTTTGGTAGACTATATAAACAAACACCAGGACTTCTATGAAGTGAGTCTTTTTAAAGCCATTACATATCCGTCACACTCATTCAAACAGTGTTTTACAAGCTCAGGCGAAGTATTGGGCAGGTGCAGAGGAGTTTACTGAGTCTCGGACTATGGACTCCAAATTCCTCATAGATCCTCCGGGTGAAAAGCTGCAGCGCATAAGAATTGCCAGCAACGAACCCATTCCACAAAGGTGAAAAACTGCACTGTTTTGTTCGAATCAATAGGTTTATGTGTTTTATATCTTTTATCATATCATGTCAAGTCAAACAAAATGTGCAATCATAATACTTTGTGGTGAATAGCGGATAAAAAAAGTTTTTTAAGTTTTGATGCACGAGAAAAGTGGCCCAACTGCAGTTCGATCATTGGACGTATTCGGGACCAGTCAAAATGTAGTGAGTGATTGAGAATGAGCTCATGGCAGCTGATTGGAAAGGTTTTCCGATGTGCTGAAGTGCAGCAAAGACTATTGTTATATAGCCCCTGGTTTCTCTCCCTTTGACTTATCGGTTCAGCGGTCTAACAAAAAATATATGTATTGTTGATTGTGTGTTTTGATGTTCTGAGCAAGGCAGGAGATTGTTTCAAAAGTAGTAGCAAAGGGAACGACTCAAATTACTCGAGATATCATAGCTATGTAAGTAATTGGTTAATTTCGCGTTACCACCGCTCTCCCACTCTTGGGAGGGTGAAGGACCCAAGAAGAAACCACTTCGCAGCGTAGCTTGTAGTGGATTTCTCATTTCTCTCAACTGCCACATCACTTGGGTTGTAAGTATAGCCGCTCGCAATCTTGTGATAGAGCTACGGTTGTGGCATTATTCTGACATTTTGCTTCAGAATCAGGCTGGGCTGTGGCAAACGCAGAAGTGATGTCTGATCGTTTGTGCATTCAGACAGAAGCACGGATAACTGTAAGTTAAGACGCTTCCGTTTTACCTTATGTGAAAGGATCACTTACCACTGCTTACTGTAGTAAGGAGATATACTGAGACTTACTTCCTCGGTAAGTAGGGTGCTCAGTCTAAGTGGCTCACTGTCAATACCACAGATCAAAAGATATTTAAGGTTCACATTTCGGACACCGATTTGCTGACTTGCTGTGGAGAATACTGCGGCAACGGGTATAAGATTTCTAAATTACAAGAGCTTTCTTTATATATCTCTCATTAAGATGCGAGGGCGGCTATGCCTCTCGGGGATGGTCCTACTTCACACATACTGGTCTTGTCACGGGTGGTAGCTATAGAAAGAGAGTGAGAAACAAGAAGCGAAGAAGCGTGAGAAGCGTCTAGAATGGACAAGCTATTGCAAGCTTTTTCAGAATTGCTGCAAGCCTTATGCATTATACCCTTGTGGACAACATAGAAATCAAACCTATTATGGAAGGTGTAGAAAATTTGGAACACCAGCATGTCGCAAATTTTGCCAAGTCACCTACGACAAGGAATACGAAGACGACAAGTTCTACGGTGACCACTCGTATCATTTATAGTGATTAGCAGCACTGTAGCTGATATGCTGAATGAGCAGTATCAGCAGTAGAAGAATAAGAAACGCTTTCAGACCCGCCGCTTTTTCTAATCTTTCAAAGTCTTTATTTTCTACACATTCATGTGTACACTGTTTTGTTAGTCAAGCTCTAATGACTGTACAAATGCAAAAACCATGAAAGAGGTAATAAGAATGGCAATGCTTGCTTGAGCTTTCTTTGCTCTATCGATTGGTACCTTGAAGCTCTATTATTATACTATGCAGTGTATGACTTATCGCCGTAAGCAGACAGAGTCTAACAAAATTATGTAACAATCTAATAGAAAATCCGCAACTGACTTAGGCCCGTTATGCACTAACATCACCGCAGCGAGGTGAGCGGCGTCCTCCGTTGTGAAGGTCCGCGTGCGGACGCCGCTGCGGCTTTTTTACATTGGGAACGTTATTCTCGATTTTTAGCTGAATAAAAAATACAGCAACGGTATATAAGAATGTCTAATGTGAAGTGTTATTTTTCCGAGCAAGAGGGAGATCCGTAGGTCTCTATATCACAAAACGTGTCCATGTTTGATTTTGCTAATGATAGATAAGCTAGTGCAAGTGTGCGAAAAAGCAATCAAAATAATCTTTCAGGAGTATTTTTTGAAGTGATCAAAAATTCAATTAGATGTGTAGTTTTTAGTTGCCGAAGGGGAGGAGGCTCTCGTCTAAAGAATGGGTTGAGAATCTCAAAAATGGCTCATACTCAGACAAAGGACCGGAACAAACTTCCGCAGAGCGCATGCAGAAGTTCCGCCGGGTCAAGTTTCGTAAACGTGCTGCGGAAGTTTCGAAATGAGGTCCTGCGGAAGTTCCAAAGAATGCCAACCATAACAGCAAAAGAGAACACCGAAGCGAGATTTGAACCTCACTTTATTGACTATGAGACCCACCAGCATTTGTCGATAAGTCATATATAGCTTATCTACAAATGGGCAAATGATTTGCTTATTGAATAGTTTTTAAATTTTAGACTTCTGATTAGCCTTATAATCCCTTATAATCCCCAAAATTTTTTTGGAGTGCATGACTAAAGCCACACCCTTTCATTCGGAACTTTTTTCTCGTCGCGTCTCCCCTCCCCTCCCCCCCCCCCTTAACGTCTCTCGGACCGTTGCTGGTACACATAGAAAGATATAGGCATTCACAGTTTTTGATGCCTACTTGATGTTTCGAAAACGTTCAATCCCCTAGCACAACACTTTTCTCTATTTACGATGTTAACTAAAAACAGCGTTGTATTCAACAAAGTGATTGTTCTAACAAACAACCACAATCAATCTTTCCTAAACAATTACATTTCTTAATAATGTTAATCATTACTCTATGTTTTATGTTTCTTGTAAGAAAGCATTTTTATGAGTATGCCACAGGCCTTATTCACATAGATAGCAAACAAGTTAAAATTTCCAGGAAATCGCTCATACTATGTCACTGCAAATGAAGCCGACATCCAAAGGGAAATAATGACAAACGGACCAGTGATTGCAACTATGGACGTTTGGAGCGACTTTGAGTTTTACTCAAAAGGAGTCTTCAAGGTATGAGTCATCTCGAGATAGGACAAATGTTTTAACGACGACAAAATTAGATAGTTCTAGCACACTTGGGGTACTAAGGAGGAAAAAGCGCATGCTGTGAAAATTATCGGATGGGGTGAAGAGAGAGAAGGTAAAAAGTACTGGCTTGCTGCCAATTCATGGAACACTGATTGGGGAGAAGATGGTCTGCAAGTACAAGTGTTTCATGGCTGAAACGCACGAACAATAACTATTCAGGTTTCTTTCGTATACTCCGCGGCACAGACGAGTGCGGAATTGAAGCACATGTAATTGGTGGAACCATTAACCTTGCAAAAATTACTGGTCTGAAAGGCTGAGAAGGAAAATTCAATAGATCTTTATATAGTTTTACGCTTTATGGTTAGTCATATTGAACCATTATTTCTGACGTCATTAGTTACTAACAGCATGATCAGTAAATAAGCCAGTCCACGCAAACTCCGAGAAAGTTGAGATGTATTGCAGTTGTACGCATAGCGCAGTTCTTTCTTGCCTGGTATCACGCTAGCGTGTACACAGTCTGCTTCTCAAAATGGATTTATCTTGAAACACTGCAAAGTTCTGCGATTTCAGTTTGGAGAGGCAGGTGCGTTGTGGTGCTTGATTGGAGCAGACTTTTTCATTTAAAGTGTGATTTCATCACTTCGTATTCTATCAGAGACGAGAAAAAATTGGAGAGTGTTAGTCGTCGCATAGTGAGCTTTGACCTCAGGCTTGATGTATGTGAAATACAATGAAGACTTACTCGCTAAACTTGCAAGTCTCGAGAATGAGATTGTTGCCACCTTTCTTAAACTTAAAGCTGTCAAGCCATCTATTTCTTACTTTGGTGCTTCAATGCTTTGTTCTTTGCTCATACTCATTACTTTATAACGTCACTTGTTTGTTGTAAAGGTGGTAAATGTCCAGAACTCATATGTGGACAAAGATCTCACGCGCATAGCATTATACTTGGGTACGAATCGAATAGAAATTCGATCATTTGAATAAAACATTCGAATATATTCATATTCGAGATTCGATATTCGGAGTTCTTCCATTTTCGAATGATATTCGAAACTCGAATAATTGAGAAAACGGGGTTTCGAACAAAATTCGAAACTCGAATAATCAAAAAACAGGGTTTCGAATATAATTCGAAAACTCGAATAACTAAAAACCAGGATTCGAATATTATTTGAAAACTCGAATAATCAAAAAAAGGGGTTTCGAATAGATTTTATTCGAATGTTTATTCGAATTCGTATTCGAATGAACTCCGTAGTCAGAGCTGAGTATTCAAGCTCACTTCGTCCGCGTTTTTTTCGCAAAACTCGGTAATGCATCTTTTGCAACCGTTATGACCTCTGAACTGTAAGGAGAGTCGCATTCTTTCGACTACAGTGCTGGCCATAATTATATAGCCACCCTAGAAATCGTCGTAATTTTCGTTCTTGTCAATGAATCTGTTTGAAACTTTGCTGTATTGTGCGCATAGAAGAAAGGGGAACTATCAACCTAATAAAAGAATTTCTTGACATAATGTCGTCAAAAGGAAACATTCGCATTCCGGTTTCGGGGCTAAGAACTATACCGGTCATGTGACTTCCTTGGTGCCCCTCATCAGTAGTTCCCAAGGAAGTGTAAAAGATAAATAAAATAGAATATGTTGAAATATATGCGAACCCAATAGATCTTAGTGGCATGAGAAGCAAGTGATATGTTCGAGGACCCTGGTAACTACCAAGTTTTGGCGCCAACAAATGCCGCGCTGTCACTAGTCCAACTACTCCATGTTATCAGTCCATGTTTTTCGCACCTCATGCATAAGTGGAAGATGCACACTAGTAATGAAACCGTATTTACGTAAAATATAAGGGCGATGATACATAGTATTGAATATGACTTCATATAAAATACGGAGACTCCAACATATTGTACATAGAGGTTTTAACCAATTCTAAGACTCTACGTCTAAAGTCTATATACTTAGAACTATTTCTGTATATTCTTAAGATCTCTGAAGTAAGCGTATTAAATAATATGTAGCGAGGTATATAGGACCTCCAGTTTGGATATCTAGTTACTCTAATATAATCATCTGTCTTACTGTATAGACTAAAACTGACATTTTTGTTATCAATAGTTATTGTAAGATCCACAAAATTAGTCACTCCAACACTAATGGATGTAGTTTCTATATCTAAAGTGGGGTGGTATATATCTCTAAGGCAATCTAAAAATGGGATGCATTAGTTGAAATATGCAGTATGTCATCTATATATCTGTAGGTATGTTGGTACAAAAATACGTTATACTTCTTCTCCACAATCTGTTTTCTAATGAAAGTATATTCCATGTAAGCTAGCGTAAGATCTGCCATTTGTGGACTACAAGAATTTGAGTTTTGTGGTGCAAAAGTGCGTCAACCCTATGGTGAGGTTGGAGTCTGTCCGTCAAAATCAGCGATTACGCAAAGTTTACGAAAGCGCTCTTCACCTCATCTATCCAGAAGGATCAGTAGATTTCATGATTATGATTTGAAATGAACAAGAGCTTGAAAACTCTTCAAACCAGTTGTTTGTTAAAGCAAACTGATTTTTGGTGCTTTTGAAAGCAAATAATGCAGTGATCGCTTCTACTTGATTGGATGAGAGGCCGCAGGTGTTGCAAATGTTTCATATTTTGGTATTATTGTAAAAAAATTTGAGAGTCAACGAATGCGATAGTGATTAGAAAAACCAGGTGGCTATATAATTTTGTCCAGCTTTCAATGAGGGCTTTTTCGAATTTTTACGTTTTTCTCCGTTCAAACTTAACAAGACTGGAAGCCGTTTTGAGGAGTCATGGTAGGTTGACATGCGCACAATATAGCAAAGTTTCAGACAGATTCATTGGCAAGAACGAAAATTACGACGATTTCTAGGGTGGCGATATAATTATAGCCAGCACTGTATATGCGACAGTAAAAAAATCATATGTGTGGATTTTGATTGATGTTTTTTTGATCAATGAGATTGCTCGCACTGCTATTGGCACCAGATCAGCAAAGAAGCTATCAAATTCAAGCTCATGTTCCGAGTTCATATATTGAAAGTGTTTTGAAATGCCTGTTTTTCTTTCTTTGCATTGCTCATGCTTGTGGTACGCAAAGTCCACACTAGTGAGCACTCTTGCTCGCATAAGTTGTATTGCACAACTGCCTCTATTCGCTACCTTAGGCAGGTGCTATACTCCTCGAGGAGTATAGCATGGCGACGATCGATATGCATTAAATACTTGTAAAACCAGCGACTTTTGTCGCCGATATTGGCGATCGCTAGTCGCTACGACGGGCGATCGCCAGTCGCTACGACGAGCGATCGCCAATGGCCAAACAAGTTACCGTTTAGTGTTGAATGTGAAAAGTGGTCTTGCAGTTCATTCTTTTTAGGGCGACCTCACCGGCTGGTGAGTACTCTGAAATGGAAGTGGGAAATGAGTAATGTGTAGTCGCCAATACTGGCGACTAGCGATCGCCAATATCGGCGACTACACGTTTGATACGTATCGATTAGCAAATGGCGATCTCCAGTCGCCATGCTATACTCCTCGAGGAGTATAGCGTCTGCCTTGGAGATTTTTTGCGAATTGGTGTATTTTGAGTAAAGGAATCGCAGTTGTAGTGGAGGATGAGACGGTTTAGATCGCAGTACGCGATTTGCTAGTTACGAGATGTCTTCAACTGTAACGCCAGCTTACCACAGATGTTTAGCGTGTACAGCTTATTAAAAAGATAAATGCCCTGCATTCCGTACTTCTAGAATAAGTTTTGATCAAAATTTATATCGACTGCTTTTTGAGATCGTCCAATAATGGGTAAAATACGACTTCTTGCTGATGTATAGACTAGTTGCCAACCGACCAACTTCATCGATTTTTGGAGAAATTTGAGCTGCGGGGCTGGGAGTTGGTACAGGGGGGTAAGTGAGGGCGCTGATTATGAATAAAGATTTACTTTATCGATTTTGTCGATTTTTGGAAAATCTCGAGCTACGAGGTTGGGAGTTGGTACAGGGGGGGGGGGGTAAATGAGCGATTTTTTGAAAATTTTCAGCTGGGAGTTGGTATAGGGGATAAAGGGTGCTGATTATGAATGGATCGGCTTTAGCCAGATATGTCGGCAAGTTTGAGATATAATTGCTTTAGTTATTCGATAAATCATTCGAATATTTATTCGAAATTCGACTTCCAATGTTCGAATATATTCGATATTCATTCATTCGATATTTTTGATTTTCCGAATTTATTCGATGTTCATTCATTCGATGAAAATTTTTCGAATTACCCAAGTATAATACGCATGCTTTACTGGAACAGAGTACTCTAATAGTACTCTGGAAGTTTGCCATTTTTGAAAGAACATAACATTCAAGACATTATCGTGCTTCTCCCTTTCCTGTTAAGAACAAAAAAGTGAGAGGAATCAATCCTAAGAAATGCCCAGAACAGCAACACTGCGTTTTCTAGCAATGTAAGGCATGAAGAGAGCAAGGAGATAATGTTATACGAAGACGAAACCTTCATTTTGCCGTCATATAATGGTGCATCTACATGTTTTCGACGAAGGGTGCCAACTGTTCGAACTAAAAAGTCTCCATCGTAAACATCAAGTGTAACATTTGAATTTGAATTAGCATTCTAATCATCTCAGGTTATCACTTGATATGGCGAAAAGGAATGAAACTAGATGAGATAAGATTGGTTCAATCATCTCATTGCACATGAGCGCAGCCACGATGATAATGTCAGTTGCCATAAACAATGAGTCAAATAGCTTATGGAAAAGTTTGATTAGGAGAAAAATATTAGGTTGTCTCATAATTAATGCACGTTTTTATTTGCTTGCTTTAACAAACAACCAGACTCAACCCAACAAAGGATAATGGGTATTGTTCGATAGAGCAAAGCAAGCTCTACAAGATGGCGTTCATGATCTTGCGCCATGCTCGATCCACGGACAGTTCGAACGTAAAATCTAAAGATTTCCAAATGCCCAAAAAAATCGAAAAAAATCACATTTTCGTCCAAATAATTTCTACGAACCTCACACTCGCACACATCAATACTATCGATATACGATATCCATATGTGCGATTGTCGTATTTTTTCCTTGACTAGAAACTGAGAAAACGAAAATTTCTCTGATTTTATCAGAGCAATGCTGAGTCGTTTTTGCATATGTAGTTCTATACTACAAGCCTAGGTAAGTATAATTGTAGGTTTTCAGCCCATTCCAAGCGGTAGTTTTCGAAAAATAACGAATTCGGATTTTTTCGTTTCAGTTTCAGTGCTAAAATCGACATTTTTCGAAAAGTACCGCCCGAAATAAGCTC